GGCCATTTCCTTCCCCAACAGAGGGACCTGAACGCAGGCTGGTGCAGACATGGTGCCCCTGCTGCTGCTGCCCCTGCTGTGGGGGGGTAAGTGGGCCAAGGGGGAGCGCTGGCGGGCACAGGTGGGGGTGTGCCGGAGCCACAGCTGAGCCTCGGTTTCCCCGCAGGGTCCCTGCAGGAGGACTGGGGGTACAAGCTCCAAGTGCAGGACACGGTGACGGTGCAGGAGGGTCTGTGTGTGCACTTGCCCTGCGCCTTCTTCTATCCCAGGAGCTCGTGGCCTACCCGTGAGAGGCCCTACATGTACTGGTTCCGGAGTGGGGACAGCTCCCATAACTCTCAGCTTGTGGCTACAAATGATAAAAGAACAAAGGTGAAGACAGAGTTCCAGGACCGGTTCGACCTCGTCGGGAAGCCCGGGGAAAACAACTGCTCCCTGAGAATCAGAGAGGCCAGGAGGAGCGACCAGGGACTCTACAGGTTACAAACAGAGAGAGACTATGGGAGATATGCTTACAAAGATAAGCAGCTGAACCTGCTGGTGGCAGGTATGGCAGGGGCCCCAGGAGAGCTCTGGGATGTGGAGACCCCCCTCTTAGAACAGGAGCAGGACACTGGAACATTCCCTGCTCCAGGTCTTGGGGCTGGGATGGTGGGAAGAGACATGGGGGCCCCGAGGTCAGCTTGTGCCCTGAGGCCCTGGTCCCTGTCAGGGTCACACTCTGGGTCCCCAGCTCCCTGGGGCCCAGGCACCTGCATCTGTCCTCCTCAGCCCTGACACAGGAACCCGACATCCACTTTCCGGAGCCCCTGAAGTCCGGCTATCCCACGAACCTGACCTGTAGTCTGCGGGGAATCTGCGAAGAAGGAAGACCTCTCCGCTTCTTCTGGGTGGGGGGTGCTCTTGACTCACTGGACCCCCAGACCCTCCACTCCTCGGTGCTGACCCTCACCCCGAGGGTGCAGGACCATGGCAGCAACCTCACCTGTCAGGTGCACCTGCCAGAAGGTCAGGGCACCGTGGAAAGAACCATCAGGCTCAATGTCTCCTGTGAGTGCTGGAGGGATGGCTGGGTCCCTCAGGGCAGTGGGGGGAAAGGGGTTAGTCCTGGGATCCTTTTTCCAGAGGATATTGGGGGAAATTGGAAAGTTCATCCCTTCCACTTATGGGGCTCCTGGAACAAAGGGCCGAAGCCCACCCTGCCCCTCACCACATCTTCCCTCCTCAGACGCTCCACAGTTGATGACCACGCGTGTTTTGCAGGGAAACTACACAGGTAGGAAAGATCTTCTCACCTGGGGTTGTGATGAGAACAGGGTCTGCCTGCTCAGAGCTCAGGGCTTGGAGATAAGACCCTCCCTCACTCCTCAGCCCCTTGAGTCTTTCTCTGTCCCCCCCCCCACCTCACCAGGGTCTTCCATTGTGGACCCAGGATTGCTTTCAGCTGCTGCCTCTTTTTTTCCTCTAGTTTGTGTGTATTATGTATGTTTCATTTTAATTGCATTCTAATCAACATGTACCAGTATTAGTTTTCAGTAGACAACATAATGATTTGGTATTTGTTTGCACTGCAGAATGATCACCACAGTAAGTCTATGTAACATAGCCACAAATTTTTTTCCCTGTGATGACAACATCTGACATCTACTCTTAGGGACTTTCAAAGATACAGTCTAGCACTATTAACTATAGTCACTGTATGCGTTACATCCTCAGGAGAGGATGTAACTTATTTATTTTATAACTGAAGTTGGTGCCTTTTGACCTCCTTCCTTTTTTCATTAGCTGTAGAGTTTATGGTTGTTTTCTTTTTAAAATGATTTATTTGGGGCGCCTGGGTGGCTCAGTGGGTTAAGCCGCTGCCTTCGGCTCAGGTCATGATCTCAGGGTCCTGGGATCGAGTCTCGCATCGGGCTCTCTGCTCAGCAGGGAGCCTGCTTCCCTCTCTCTCTCTCTCTCTCTCTGCGTGCCTCTCTGCCTACTTGTGATCTCTCTCTGTCAAATAAATAAATAAAATCTTTAAAAAAAATGATTTATTTTATCTCTTCACCTTAGAGAGATGGGGGAGAGGGGCAGAAGGGTAAGGGGAGAGTCTTTTTAAAAAATATTTTGTTTATTAATTTTTTAAAAAGATTTTATTTATTTATTTGACAGATCACAAGTAGGCAGAGAAGCAGGCAGAGAGATGGGAGGAAGCAGGATCCCCACTGAGCAGAGAGCCGGATGTAGGGCTTGATCCCAGGATCCTGGGATCATGAACTGAGCCCAAGGCAGAGGCTTAACCCACTGAGCCACCCAGGGGCCCCTTGTTTCTGAATTTTTGAGAGAGAGAATACACATGAGTAGGGGGAGGGTCAGAGGGAGAAGCAGGCTCCCCGCTGAGCAGAGAGCCAGAGACAGGACTGTATCCCAGGACCCTGGCTGGGATCATAACTTGAGCCCAAGGCAGCGGCTTAACCGATTGAGTCACCCAGGGGGCCCTAGAGCTTATGTGTCATTGTAATAAAACAGACACAACGTAAAGCTTACTGTCTTCACCATGTTTAAGGCTAGAGCTCAGCGGTGTTGGAGGCTTTCAGTACTGCGCCTGCAGAGCTCTCTCTGGCTTGCGAAACAGAAACTCTTTGCACACCAGACACTGACTGCCCAACCCCTCCCCCAGCCCCTGGCAGCCACCCTTCTGCCTCTCACCTTCCACCTCTGTCTCTGTGAGTTTTGCAGCTCCAGGTTCTGCTCCCTGCGCTTGAATTTCTGTCTGCACTCCTTCGTGGCCGATCTCGTCGTCTTCTGTTGGACCCTTCCATGTTCTCAGTCTCCGTAGCTCCAGCCTGGACCCCTGTTGCTCTCTGTGTCCACTTTCCTGGGCATCCTCATTCTGTCCCCTGTCTCCTCCTGTGACCCCATCCCTACGCTGACCCTGTCCTGGTGCCTCCCACAACTTTCTAGCCGGTCATGGGTCAGATGTGCAGTTGCCTCTTGCTGATGGCCTCTCTGCGTCTGCTACTTACCCCAGTGGCGGGTCTGGACCCTACGCTGGGTAACTCCCCTTCTCACCAGCTGCACCCATGAGTCCGCGAGTCTTGAGAACTTCATTTCCCAAATCATTTCACTCCTCTTGCCTTTGGCCCAGGCCAGCTCCAATTTTCTCCTGGACCCTGGACCATTGCCTCAGCCTCCTCCTCAGCCTCCCTGCCTCCTATACATCTCTCCGTGGCAGGCCGCACCTGGCCCAGCAGGATCTTTGTAGACCCAGCGCTAATTCTGCATTTCCCCTGCTCATAGCCCCTACCGCTTCCCAGTAACCTCTGGACAAAGCCCAGTGCCCTCAGCCCGGCTCCAGAATTTCTGACCCTGCCCTCTCTCCCGCTTTGATCATGTCTCTGATGCTCCCGGTCATCCCCGCCCAGCTCCAGGGACAAGTGCACTTCCCCCATCTGCCAGGCGGTCTCAGTTCCTGGCACATCTCCACCAGAGCTGCCCGCTTTGGCTCTGTGGGAAGAGGGAGGGAGAGATGCCTCTCTGGGCTCCACCCGATGGTGGTGACTCTCTTACCCAGTCCCGAAGATGCTGAGCAACGGCATGTCACTGCCTGTCTTGGAGGGTCAGTTCCTGAGCCTGGTCTGCATCGCTGACAGCAACCCCCCTGCCATGCTGAGTTGGTCCCGGGAGGGCAAAGCCCTGAGCCCCTCCCAGCCCTCGGTGCCTGGAGTCCTGGAGCTGCTCCATGTAGGGGTGGAAGATGAAGGGGAATTTACCTGCCAGGCTCAGAACCCGCTGGGCTCCCAGCGCATCTCCTTCAGCCTCTCTGTGCGCAGTGAGTTGTAATACAGGTTTGGGGAGGGGGCAGCCTGGTCAGGTGTTTGGGGTGTGAAAGGGACTGGGGTCTGGGGACAGAGCTTCAGCCTCTGGACTTCCTTCCCCAGGTAGCCCCTCTTCCTGCAACTGTGTGACTGAGAAGCAGGAGGGCTCCTGGCCCCTGGTCCTAACCCTGATCAGAGGGGTCCTCATGGGGGCTGGCTTCCTCCTCGCCTATGGCCTCACCTGGATCTACTACACCAGGTGAGCGGGCCCGTCCCTCTCCCGGGAAGTCTGCTGACTGGCCCCGAGTTCCGGATGGGGCTGAGCCGTCCCATCCTGCCTGGAGTTAGAACTACATGGCGGCTCTCTGATCTGAGACCCGCGTTGCTTCTGCAGGTGTGGGGACCCCCAGGGATCGGGGCCGAGAGGCCTGAGTGAGCCTCTCTCCTTCTCAAGACGGGACTGAGGTGTGGACCTGGAGCCCAGGGGGACAGATATGAGACGTCATGGTCAGCTTCTTCCTGCAACCTCTCAACTCAAACCTTCTCCACTGTACCCCTGGAGTTTAATTTGGGGAGGTGAAGGAGCGATGACACAGAGAGGCCAACACCATCAGAAGTCACGCCATGCAGGGCCATGCGGGAAGAAGCACCACGTTTTGGCTGGGAGGCAGAAGCAGGTAGGGGAGGCCTCGCAAAAGCCTTTCCTGGGGTTTGTGTGAGAAAGACAAGGCCAGGAGTATAGTTCAGGATCGGCTAGTCTGAGTAATTCTGGGGGGCCTTGACCTAAAGGGGTGGCTCTAGTTGTCTGCGACCTGTCCTTGGTAATTTAGGGCAGGGTGCGTGGGTTAGAGAAAAGTGGTGTTTGGGGCGTCTGGGTGGCTCGGTTGGTTGAGCATCTGCCTTCAGCTCAGGTCATGATCCCGTGATCCTAGAGTCCCCGGATTCAGCCCCCCATCAGGGCAGGGAGCCTGCTTCTCCCTCTCCTCTGCCCCTCCCCCTGCTTGTGCTCTGTCTCTCTCTCAAATAAATAAATAAAATCTTTTTTTTTTTAAAAGAGTGTTTGGGGGACGCGTGCTGGGGATTGGTTAGTTTGATCTGAAAGGTGAGCTCCCGGCAGAACTCTTTGCCATCTCTAAAAACTGGCTGGCCCTAGGAGGCGCCATCTCTCCCCAGATGGCAAGCTTTTTAAGGAAAAAAGGAAGTAAAAACACACCGTAGCTGATGCCCCCTTGTTTCTGCCTGCGGCCAGTCTCCATCTGCTCAGCCTGCCTCTCCTTGCTGGCTCTGCCCATCCCATCCCTCCCACCCTCCTCCTCTCCATCCCCAGCCCTGCCCCTGTAAGGGAGCTCCCCAGGCTTACTTCCCATGACCTGCTTAACCCCTGAGTTTCTGGTCTCCCAAACTTCCCTCTCAGTGTAGACGACAGTGCATAATAGAGTCAAGAATACAGCTTTTCTTTTCCAGATGAGAGACACCTACCTCATAATAATTGCTACAGAACATCACATTTAATTATAAATAAAAGTTTTATTAAAGATGTAACATAAAAATTGATTTTACTGTTTAATGTCTCTGTGGAAGTTTCGAGAGCAAAACTATGTCTTAACCTTCTATCCTTTTTTTGTTGAACACGGTCTAAAGAAGACTTTTTATGTATTCATTGTGTTTGGAGGTCTAACTTATATTGATTAAATAATCAAATCTAAGGAGTGCAACTAGGTGAATGCTTACCTGTGTGCACACCCTTGCTTCCAACACCAAGTTCAACATACAGATTCCATCCCCCTACCCCTGGGGGTCAGGTCCCACCACTGAGATGGGAAGGATAGGCAGCGGGCAGGCAGCTTTGGCGGAGATGGGCCAAGAATTGAGACCCCCCCTGGCAGATGAAGGGGAGCACACCTGTACCTGTAACTTGGTGGGGATGACCGGGAGCACCAGAGACATGATCACGGCGGGACAGAAGGCAGGGTCAGAAAATTTGGAGCTGCGAGCGCCATGCTGAAGGTGTTGGGCTTTGTCTTGGGCTCCTTCAAGTCAGCAGAGTCACACGCATGCCAACTCCCTCTTTTCTGTTGATACAGATCTGTATTGCCAGTTTTGGGGCGCTATGTAAGTGGACTCAAGCATTACATATGCATTAGGGTCTGAATTTTTTCTCCCAGTTTTACATTTTTCAGATTTATCTATATTGTTATATGTATCAATAATTCATTTTTGGTTTTGGTATTGTTTTTGCTTTATTTTTAAATTTTATATAAAATCAATTACTTACCATATGGTGTAATATTAGTTTCAGAGGTAGAGTTTAGTGATTCATCAGTTATAAATAACACCCAGTACTCATTCCATATCGTGCCCTCCTAATGTCCATCACCAGTTACCCCTTTCCTCCAGCTACCAGTTACCCGCTCTGGCAAACTTCAGTTTGTTTTCTATGATTATATGGTTTGTATATTATGATTATATGGTATATATTATATTATATATTATGATTATAAGTTTCCTATGATTATATGGTTTGATATTATGGTTTGTCTCCCTCTAATTTCATCTTGTTGTATTTTTTCTTCTCTTCCCCTATGATCCTCTGTTTTATTTCTTAAATGCCACATATCAGTAAGATCATATGATAATTGTCTTTCTCTGATTGATATATTTCACTTAGCAGAATACCTTTTAGTTCCATCCATGTTGTTGCAAATGGCAAGATTTCATTTCTTTTGATGGCTGCCTAGTATCCCATTGTATATATATATACATCTTCTGTATCCATTCATCTGTTGACAGACATCTGGGTTCTTTCCATAGTTTGGCTATTGTGGACATTGCTGATATAAACATTGGGGTGTCGGTGCCCCTTTAGATCACTATGTTTTTATCCTTTGGGTAAATACCAGTAGTGCGATTGCTGGGTCATAGGGTAGCTCTATTTTCAACTTTCTGAGGAACCTCCATACTGTTTTCCAGAGTGGCTGCACCAGCTTGCATTCCACCAACAGTGTAGGGGGGTTCTCCTTCTCTGCATCCTCGCCAACATCTGTCATTTCCTGACTTGTTAATTTTAGTCATTCTGACTGGTGTGAGGTGGTGTCTCATTGTGGTTTTGATTTGTGTTTCCTGGATGGCGAGTCACGTTGAGCACTTTTTCATGTGTCTGTTGGCCATTTGGATGTCCTGTTTTGCTTTTAATTAGTATTCCATGTGTGAATATCCTCCCAGTTGTTTATTCTAAATTACAATGACTGCATTTGTTTCTGGTTTTTGACTTTTGAGAGAGATAGCAACCTTTTCAGAGAGATAGCAACATTCCTTGTTCACCAGGACCGTAGAACCACAAGTGAACAACAATAAGATGAAATCATTCCAAACAATTCCCATTTGTCTTTCGAAAGCATGCTTTGTCTAAATCTCCCTTTCTGGGGCGCCTGGGTGGCTCAGTGGGTTAAAGTCTCTGCCATCGGCTTAGGTCATGATCTTGGGGTCCTGGGATTGAGCCCCACATCGGGGTCTCTGCTCTGCAGGGAGCCTGCTTCTCCCCCGCTCTCTCTATGCCTGCCTCTCTGCCTACTTGTGATCTCTCTCTGTCAAATAAATAAATAAAATCTTTAAAAAAAATAAATATATCTCCCTTTCTATACAGACTGGGGGAGAGGGACTCCAGAGAGTATCATGTTAATGAAATTCACTGCTTTAAACTGTGAACAAGACGGTTCTAGGTAAGCTGTTACGGACACCAGCAGACAATAAAGAAAACTTCAAATCCAGAATAGCATGTACCTCAACAACTGGACGGCTCCAATCCATACTTTTAATCTGGATCACAGTGCAATTGTTTGCTTTCCAGTTAAACACATTGCCAAAATCTTTCAAAGCAGATTTCTGCTTAGAAATTCAAATGAAAATGCTAAATCATAAAAAGCGTTGGCTTATTATATAGTTTCTGACAGGCTCCAATATTCTGGGTGCCAGAAGGTAATTCTCTCTCAGTTCCTAGTGAAAAGATGAGTCTTGTATACACTAAAAATGTGATGTTGGGTATTGGAGAGGGCACGGATTGCATGGAGCACTGGGTGTGGTGCAAAAACAATGAATATTGTTACGCTGAAAATAAATTTAAAAAATTTAAAAAAAATGTGATGTTACCAGATTCTAGTGTCACCTGTCAAAACACAAATATCTTTAAAAAAAATATCTAGCGGGGCGCCTGGGTGGCTCAGTGGGTTAAAGCCTCTGCCTTCGGCTCAGTTCAGGATCCCAGAGTACTGGGATGGAGTCCTGCATTGGGCTCTCTGCTCAGCGGGGAGCCTGCTTCTCCCCCTCTCTCTCTCTGCCTGCTTCTCTGCCTACTTGTGATCTCTGTCAAATAAATAAATAAAATCTTTAAAAAAAATTATCTAGAAGTGTCAGTAAACAAGTGTTTAGTAAGTGTCAGTAAGTAAGCAAGTGTCAGTAAACATCACGATGAAGGGCCATCAGAATTCAAAAGCGAGAAAAATCCACATAAATTAACTCTTACTAATCTGAGAAATCAATATAATGTATATGTAAATTGAAAAACACTGTCTAGCTAGTCATTAGTTTCTAGCTAACTGATGACAGGTCGTTCCAGCATATATGTTCTCTTCCTGTGATATTTGTTGTTCTGGCAAGACTCCAAGAAGGCCTGGCCCCTGAAAACAGCTCAGCAAAAGGCAGCCCTGAGGCAATTGCTTCAAATTTGCCAGATAATAAGTCCCAAGATTGCAATCATCACTAACAGGACAAGGGTCAGAATATAGATATTCTTGTGAGAATTTTTTCTGATAGTAAACAGCGTGCTGTAACTGACCAGCGGTTCTGTCTGCGTGCACCTTTGAGCTTTCCACACTGGCTTCTCTGCTGTCACTGGGTCACCTTGGTCATGGATCGTCATGGCCAAATATTTTTCTTTTTTTAACGTTTTATTTATTTGCGGGGGAGCATGAGTGGGAGGTAGGGTCAGAGGGAGAAGCAGGCTCCCTGCTGAGCAAGAAGCCTGATGCAGAATTCTATCCCAGGACCATGGGATCATGACCCAAGCCGAAGTCAGAATAAGCTCCTTTTCCTTTTCAGCCATTCTTCCCTGCACTGCTTGGAAATCCTTCCAGCTCCAGAGAAGTCACTCAGGAGGCATCTTTCTGAAGTTCCCAGTTCAGTAATTCATTTGTTTCCTTGGCAAGCTGATTGCTGGAATATTGCAACTGTTGCAGATTTTCCTCTGGTTGCTCGAGTCCCACTTACTTCCTCGTTGGCTCATCAGATTCTTTTTTTTTTTTTAATTCCTTTTTAAAAGACTACTTATTTATTTATTTTATTTGAGAGAGAGAGAGAGAGAGAGAGAGAGCATGAGAATGGAGAAGGTCAGAGGGAGAAGCAGACTCCCCACGGGGCCGGGAGCCCGATGCGGGACTTGATCTTAGGACTCCAGGATCAAGACCTGAGCTAAACGGAGTTGCTTAACCAACTGAGCCACCCAGGTGCCCGGCGCATCAGCTTCTTTATCTGAGCGGTGGTTCCGCAGATCTGCTGGATGCGGCTGCTGT